CCAATTCTGACTAGTAATTTAGAAGGATTTTCTTTGATAAATCATAGTCAAGATTAACTGCGAGGTTGTTGGTGAATTCAACTTCTTAAATTAATACTGGACCTTGGAAATCATCTAAATCTAAAAATTATCCGAGGTTTTTCAATTTTAGTTGCGGATTTACCCATAATGGAGCTTTAAAAAAAATAATCATCCTACCAAAGTCCTCAACTTTACCACCAGATATGTTTAAACTAAAGCATGGTATACTCATAGATAGATCGCATACACTTGAGAAGATATTCGTGCTTGGCAGCTTGCTTTTGAGTAATTCAAAGGAATAAAGCAAGTTTTGACTAAGAAAACCTTTTTCAAGATAATTGTAGACTTAATCTAATCTCTTATTTCTGATGACACTTCCGCATGAATTTATATTGATGAAACTAGTATTAATCAAGCTAATATGTCCTCCAAAATCATTTAATTCTATGATATTGTTGAAATCATAGATAAAATTTTCAAATCTAACATTCTAAAATACATTAGAGTTAAAGTAGATCGTACCTCTAAAATTAGAACTTAAGGAGAAGCCAGAGATGTTTAACTAGAGATATCAAACTATATTAATGAACCACCAATAGGCAAATGACACTAATCATTTCTATAAAGTATTTTTAAATTACACTTAAGTTTAGATGGATTTTTAAAACTTACGGTAGTATTTTGAGCAAACAGAAATCAGGTCCACTTATTATATACTTTCCACTAGAATCTTCCTTTTAAATTTTGCAGCAGTTACTAAATAAATCTTCCAAGCAAGCGTATTCATTCGAACTTAAAAGAGTGATATTCAAATTGGTATATCTAGTGTCTATAATTGAATCTATTGCGTCAAATGCGATATTTCTTATCTCTAGTCCTCCTCCTACGAAGAAAGTATATTTATCTCTTAGTTTATAAAGGACTTTAACTTGAGTTTTATCTATAGTGTCAATTTTTATGGCTGTGGCTTATGAATTTTAATCATAGGCTCTAGGCAGAAGAATGTTATCATCATATCTTAGCATAGAGTGAATTTTCCCAGATACAAGTTTTATATTGATTATTGATTTCTCATACATAGCTCCATACTCATAAGCTTTTGTTATTGCACTTTATAGTGAATAAAATGGATCATCAAGAGTCATACCAGTTGTCTCATTGGTTGTATGCCTGCCATAAATGCTATCAACATAAAGGGTAAACTCGGCTGTTCCTGATTTTAAGAGGCATTTCCCTGTTGTTTTTTAATTTGAGTCAGTTGACAAAAAAAACCCCTTTTTGCATGAAATACATTCGTGCTGAGTGGCACATTCAAAGCAATTATCATCACACGGGTTACAGACTGAGCTATCAATCATACCTCTTTCATTAAATGTAACTTAGCCATACCTGCCCACACCACAATTTGCTATGCACTTATTTTTTAGAGGATCAACAAAACCATTATAACATGCTGTTATTTATCCTTATTTTGGCATGCCTGATGAGTTATCAAGGGAAAACTTGCAATTTATCGGAACTGTATAAATTAATTCGACTGAATCAGTTTATTCTGATTCACATTCTATAATAGCAAATAAGTATGACAAAGTAATTATAAGTTTAATAACGAGAAGTAAGATGAGAATTATTTTGGCAAACTTACTAAGACATATTTAATTTCCAGTGGAATCAATAAATGGTGCATATCCTTATATACACGTTTAACAACTACTTTAACTCAAAGCATCTAGACAAACTTCACTTTAAGATGCTAAAAGATAATTTGATTAAAATGAGGAAATTACATTCTTAACATTGATCTTGATATATTTATGTAGTTTCATTAAAGAGTGATTCCTAAACTAAATAATATCCATCTTTGCATTTTATACAATTTTATTATTTATCATAGTCAAATATTATACAGTTAATATCAGAACTGTATTCTGATTCTGACTAGGGTTCTAAAGATATTTAAATAGAAATTATCGTACTACATGGATTTTGAAAATCTCCAATCAACAATGACTTTTGATTAACTGGATAACTACATTCATTACATTTAGTAATATCATCTTTTGAGCAAGTATTACAATCGTAGTCCGTGTTGCATTCTTAAAAATATGGTTGTTAATTTAAGAGATGATACTTTGACAAATTTAGAAATCATTTTAAGTCAAACTATTTGCACTTTTTATTTAAATTGCATTAATCCATCCTTTTTATTGATCTTCACCTGGACATATCTCACAGCCATAGTTTTAATTACAGGATTAGCAATTGGATCCACATCCTATAATTTTTAAATTTATAAACTTAAAGTATATTACGTAGACATTCAGATTCAATAAGTCCGTTTATAAAGGATTGTTGAGTTATTTAACAATTAGGTGTGCAAATAGTATAAACTTAATTAGAATTATTTCCTTAAAGAAGAAATAATCCATTCACGCAACTCAAGCATTAAATTCTTTCTTCACCTAAATCTGATTTTACTGAAAGACATTATAGGCAGCCAAAAACATCATCTTGGCATTCTAGATAAAAGTTTTTAATAAATCCAAAAAATATAGGTGACTTACTTTCACAAGATTTTGAAAGTGA